TGTATATATATATATATATATCTATATATTTATTTATTTATTTATTTATTTATTTATTTAAATTAAATTTATTAAATTTTAGTTGTATAATATTTAATTTGTATGTTTGTACTATTGTACTGTATTTTTACTAATAAGGTGTATTTGTTTGATATATTTATTCATTGTTATTTTGTTATTTTAACAGAAGCACTAGAAATACCTAATGTTACCTTGGTACCTGGAACAAAAACAGACATGACGGAATTAGGAATACAAATACATAATGGGCCTAGCAATCCAAAGAATGCAACATATGAAGAAAGATTGCGAACTTTTGTAGGATGGCCTACAGATCATAACCAAACACCAGAGATGTTATCTACTGCTGGATTTTATTATACTGGTTAACATTATATATTTATTTAATTTTTAAATAGTTCTTCGTGTCAAAGCAATGTTTAATAAAATGTGTTTACTTTAATTAACTCTTACTGTATATTTGTCAGGATTTCAAGATCAAGTCAGGTGTTTCCATTGTGATGGAGGATTACGAAATTGGGAACCAGAAGACGATGTGTGGTCCGAACATGCACGATGGTTTCCAACATGTACATTTGTAAATCTTGTGCGTGGACAAGAATTTGTTAAACACTGTGTGGTTAATAGACCACCTTTAGATCCTAAGGTAACTATCATGTTGCTTCTATTTCTTTTTTATTATTTTACTAATTTATTAATAAACGAATAACAAGGAAATATATAATTGTACACTCATCTAGATAGATTATTTGCTACTTTTGGTGTGAGTTCCAGAATATCATAGATATATCAGAATATCATAGATATATATTAATGTATTTATTGAGCAAGCTTTTCGGTAATGATTCGATAATGATAATTTTGAACTTTGCTGAACTTCCAACTTCATTGTGTTTAAACTATTTTGCAACCGACTATATATTGCATACTATATGGTATATAATGTATTTATTTATTTTTGTCTTTTCATTGTATTTTTATTTTTGTGTATTTATTTATTTGTGTGTATATAGATATTAGGTGAAACACCAGATGAGTATAGCAAAGATGTCACAAAAATACGATATGAAGATGGTGAAAATGTCACCGAAGTACGATACGAAAATGGTGAAGATGTTACAGGAGTTCTGGCTACTTCTTTGCCCACAGTTCCGCAATCTGATTTACATTTGATAACGGATTCAGTAATTGCAACGCTTTTAGATACTGCTCCAGCTCTGGCAAGTAGAACTATTTAACTAATCATATACAAAACGAACCATTGGTTTATTTAACCAAGATTTATTTAAAATACTAAAAGATATTTTATTGTTATTTCTATTATTCTTCCTCTCTCTCTCTTCCTTCTTCCTCCTTCCCTCTCTCTCTCTCCCCTCCCTCCCTCTTTCTTTCTCTCTCTCTCTCTCTCTCTCTCTCTCTCTCTCTCTCTCTCTCTCTCCAGCAAATGGCTTATATTATTTTATTTGATATGACTTTTTTTTACATCAATTTGATATAAGTTGTATATCAATTTTTTATATGAATTTGTGTACCTTTGAATATAGAGTGCACTTGAAATTGGATTATCTATAGATAGAGTAAAGAAAACTCTAAAAAGGAGAATGGAGGAATGTGGTATAACCTACACAAATACCGAAGAACTTATACAAGATGTTCTACATGATCAAGCTATGGAAGATTATAATAATAGGTATACACAGATTATGATATATATGTTTGTCTTACATGCTTATATCATTGAGACAATGTCACTAAAAAGATTTACTTTTCGGTAGTGACGCTTCTAGTTCATCATTCTCGGAATCGATAACGATAGTGAATCGAGTTGCGCAAGCAACGAATAATGCCACAAGTACATCTAATAATGTTGAAAAACATGATGAATGTTCTGAAATAAACGATTTGAATTATACAAATAAAGACTATGAAGGTAAAGAACAGGAAACTGGCGCATTAAAAAAAGAAGTCTTTGTAGGTAAAGAGCAAAAAGTTGATGCACTCAATAAAGAGGACGAACTCGAGGGAAAGAAGACAGATACTAAAACCGATGACATTAGTACGTGATACATATATAAGAAATAATGTTATAAGATTCATTATATACGATTTCCGTTCCGCGAATTTATGAAGTTCTTAAAGGATAGCAATCTGACTTTGAGAGACTGACAGCTGTACCATTTGGTACAATAATAATGCTTCTCTCTGTGGTCACCGTGCACTCGGGATCGCGTCAAAGATGTCGCTTCCGAACAGCATCTTTGAGCGTTTTCTTGGAAGAGGAGAGTATCGTGAGCGTGGAGCGTCACGTAGCTCAGTGGTTTAGAGCAGTTGCGCGGCAAGCGAAAGACCCGGATTCGAGTCCGGGCTTAGCAAACCGCGTTTTTTATATTTTTTTCTCTCTGGAATGAAAAGATACGCAGGTCCCGAACGCACGACGTCCCGCCGCCTAGTATGCCGTCCTCCTATAAACACAGGATGTTTGGCAATAGTTGTTTATAAAATAGTAGAAGAATTTTATGTTTAATTTGACTTAATCTATATGTATATGAACGGTTTTTTATTTGTCGTTAGAAACACGTTGTGTATATTGTTTTTCACATTGTCTTTATCTTATTATCTTATCTTTGTCTTATTATCCATTCAATAACGAGACTCTTTAAATGAAATTTTATCTGGATAAATACTTCAATTGGATTAACTGATAACACGTTTTAAATTTTTTGTTCCGAAGGATATTTGGAGCTATTATATGTGTGGATATGTTTGACATTACACACATACAACACACACACACACGCGCGCGCACACACGCACGCACACGCACACACACACAATTTAAACTTAAGAAAGAAATTACGTATCTCACATTGTATTAGACATTTATATTGTGTTAAATATTTAATTATTCTTTTATATTTATATTTAATTAAATTTATATTTATATTTAAATATAAATATTAAATTAATATTTATATTTAATTATTCTTTCAGCACTACAAGAGGAGAACAGAAGATTGAAGGAAGCTCGTTTGTGTAAAATCTGTATGGATAATGATGTAGCTATAGCATTTTTACCTTGCGGACATTTAGCAACGTGTATCTTTTGTGCGCCGTCTCTTACATTTTGTCCGATGTGTAGAATAATGATACGTGCTAGTGTTCGTACGTTTTTGTCTTAAATCAAATTTTAATGTATATGTTATTGTATATATTATATTTTCCAAATATCTTCAAATTTTACTTAACAGTTTACTTAACAATAACAGTTTACTTAACAATTTTACTTAACAATAACAGTTAAATTGGTACTACGTCAAAAGATCCTTTATTGGATATACTTTGATTGTATCAAATACAGGACAATAATTCTGATTTGTTCTTTATTAATTCTTTAAAATATATTTATTTTAATACAATAATTCTGATTTGTTCTTTATTAATTCTTTAAAATATATTTATTTTAATACAATAATTCTGATTTGTTCTTTATTAATTCTTTAAAATATATTTATTTTAATACCATAACTGCCGAATTTTAAAATTGATTTCAATTTCTCTAAAACTTAACTAAAAATTGAATAATATGCAATAAGTAAAGTCAATTTTTAACGCATATATTTTTTATTTAGTTTTGGTGGTGTTGTATTGTCTTATATCTAATTGATTATATTTAGTTACATTTTATGTATAAATTAACGATATACTTTAATGATAGTACTGCTTACGGTTACGGTAGTTAGGCTTACGCCTAATCGCTATGATATGCAACATGTTAAAAAAAAGTTGGTGTTTATTTTGTTAACAGCATAGCTTGTTAAAAATACATATCGTAAATAATAATAAATATATGTATATTTGTCGTTCATTTGAATTTGAATAATTTATACTTGTGTATATTTAACTTGCACATACATATACACACATGTATACAGGGTGTCCCACCATTATCTCGTGTCCCGCATTATCTCTTAAGGACGGATTCCTGAGGTAATTTGAAGAAAAAAATCCTAATGCAAAAATGTCGAGGCTATAATACTTTTCAAATTTTAAATTATTAAATTTGACCAATTATACTAGTAAAGTACGCGCGCTCAGGTACGGTACAACACACAGTGGTACAGGTGCATACACATGTCGTTCCTTTTCCAAATATTATCCTACTTTATAGATAAAAAATTAATATTATCGACATATGCGTATTATGTGTATTAATTTAATTTACCTTAATAGTTTATAAGAAATATAATTACCGATCAGAAAGAAGCAACTTCTTTATCATAAGTGAGAATATGAAATTAGTTGTAAATATCTGGAAGAAACGTCAAATGTGTGACAGCTTATTGATTCTCATAAATGTATTGTGTGATATTTTATTTATAACATTTTGATGAAATTATTGTTATTTGCGACATGTTTATTTAAATGATAGAAAAGGCAGATTATTATTATAGTGCGTGTACAGAATAATGAGACAAATTAATTGGCTTAAAAAAAGCACAAAAAATTTTTTTATATTTATTATGTAAAAAGTCTCATTATAGTCTCATTATTGTCTCATTATTCTATGCAAAAAAGCATTAAGGCAAGATAGTCGAAAGATGAATATTTTACGAGATATTTTGTATTCTATGTCAAAGTGCTGGAAATTTCAAATGTTATTACTCGAAAAGTTCTTAACAAAAAATATTTTATTATAGTGCTTTGGAAAGCTCTCGAGGTAAGCTATAAGAATATATAATAATATATGGGGTGTTCCATTAAAAAAATTGAAGATGACCTTTATATGACCTTGAAATGACTATTCAAGGTCAAAACAATTACACCTTTTTATAGATCCCTTCGAACCAAACAACTTTTATCTGAAATAGTTTTCTTTAAAATGGTTTGTTTTCGAGATATTCGACCGTTTCCAGACTTTTCTAACACCCTATATATATATATAAAATGTATGTATGTATGTATATACACGGGCTGCCCAGACTCTTCTCTGAAATTTTTGTGAGAACGTAGAATTAGAACGGATTGAGGTAAACATAAAAGTCCCATACCGTTTTGTGATATTCGTAATAAATCTCGAGATATTAGTTAAGAAAGATTAGTGAATGATCACGCGTGATATGGTAGATGAGCTGTAGTGGCATCGTCTGCCGTTGTACTTATACATTAGATCAACTGAATAAAAAAGTTCTTTATCATTTTGCAAGTGACCACATAATTTTTAGATATTAATTAAAGAAGATTTATGTATTATCGCGCACAATCATGTAACAATTTTCTTTCATTAATTCATTACTATAAAATTTATATGATAATTTGCAAAATGATAAAGAGCTTTTTTGTTTAATTTGATCTAAAACACGAGTGTTTTGATTTAATTTGATCTAAAACACAAGTACACAACAACACTCGCCATTACAGCTATCATATTGCGCATGATCATACATTAATCTACTTTAATTAATATCTTGACTATTATTGGTATAGGAGAAAATGGTATAGGACTTTTATGTTTACCTCAATCTGTTCTACGTTCTCAAAGTTGCGGAAGAGAGTCTGGGACACTGTATACTCTTACGAAAAAAACACCTAATTTTTGGTGTAAAAATACCCTCGAAAGAATCCTCGAATGTTTAGTGTAAATTCGGATCGTCAATTGACGGTCAACATCAAAATGAGGGTTAACCTTAAACAAAAACCTCAAATAAATGTAAACCCTAAACGGAAAAATATATCTTGCAGAAACGATTGTAACTAGTCAGCTTATGTTGATTTTAAATGAAATTTAGTTCTTTTATTTGATTTCTCACTATTTTCACACCTGAAAATTTACTGCTGTGCTATTTCTTTAACTGATACTAAGTGCTTTTTATTCTCCCCATATGCAGCCGAAGTAATTATTATAATTTTCTTATAATATTATTTAATACAATCATAAAATAAACTATTTGTACTTGAAATATTTCATAATAATAAGAGAGAAGTCAGAAATATATACATAAAATATTTATGTAAAATATGTTTACCTAGGTATTGAGATTAAAAAACATTACAATTAAAAATCATTTGAAGAAATATTTTTAAAACGTTAAAACTAATGGGATAAGTTCCCTTTTTTCATAAAAAAAAATAGAAGTTTTTTTAACGTTTTTTCGCGTTTGGAAAAATGTTTTGATTTTTAATGTTTAATAAACGTTTTAACATTTAGAAAATATTTTTTGAATGTTAAATGTTAAATGTTAACATTTAGAAAAACGTTTTTTAAATGTTAAATGTTTATTAAATATTAAAAAACAAAACAATCTTCCAAACGTTAAAAAACGTTATTTTAATGAAAAAAAGAGAATTTGACCCATTATTAGCGTTTTAAAAATGTTTTTCAAATTAAAAACAATTTTTTTTTTAATATTATTTGTTCATCGGGTAACAGAAATAATTAGTAAATAAGTAAAATATATTATATTCGCAATATTTTTTAAATATTGCTGTAATATTGCTAAAGTAATATTTCAAATTAATGTTACTACAATGTCTCTGCAACATTGCATTGCAATATGCAATGTTGGAACGTTGTAGCAATATTGCTGCAAGCTGCTGTGCTGTATGGGATAGTAACACCGAAAATTATAGTCTGAATGAAAGTCAGGCTATATATATTATTTCAATATATTTTTAAAAAACATTTTTTTAGTTACTCATTAATACGTTATTTCATCAATTATGTAAAACAAGTATGTTATTATCTTCCCAGATAGCAGAAAATTAAAAAAGAATTCAGTCGTATGTCACCAATTTTGAATTCATTTTTAGATGCAAAAAGAATTCTTTTCACTGAACTGAACTTTGAAGAATTCCTTTTGCATCTAAAAATGAACTCAGAATTGTGACACACGACTGAATTATTTTTGAATTCTTTTTGAATTATTTTTGAATTCTTTTTGAATTCTTTTTGAGTTCTCTATCTAGGTTAACATTTGCGCACAGCATATACAATTCATATGTACTAAATTTAACTAACATACATTTTTTTAGTTTATTCATTACAAATGATTTTCATTTAAGTTGGTTATTATCCGATCTTACCCAGATAGCACAAGATCTCCTGAAGATGTCCTGAGGACGAAGAAATGTTCTCAGGACTTCCTCAGGATGTACTCTAGATGTCTCCTGGACATCTATACTGTTAGGGTATGTTTGAAGAGAAAATATAGAGATGACTGTTGCTCGTGCGAATAAAATTCTGGGATTTATTTAGATTTATTTATTTTAATTATTTACCGTTCGAGATTAGCATCAAAATTTGTCGGCACCGAAACATTGGAAAGTCTAATTTGAAAGATTGAATGTTAACACTTAAAATTGGGAGTGAGTATTAAAGCTTGGGGATTGACACTGAATCGTTTGAGGTTTACTCTGAAAGTTTCAGGTTCAATACTACTCATTGAGGGCCAACACCGAAATTTGGAGGTTGACACCGAATCATTTGGGATCTATCCTGAAAGTTTCACTTTCAACACTACTCATTGAGAGTCAACACCAAAATTTGGGAGTTAACATCAAATCACTTGGGATCTACCCTGAAAATTTGAGGGTCTACCCCCAAATTTTCAGGGTTAATACCCAACTAGGTTTGTGGTCAACCTTCAAATTTGATGGTCAACTCACAAATTTGAGGATTAACCTTTAAAATTTGTGGGTTTTTTTCGTAAGGGTATAATAGCCGCAGTAACTGACAATATCACATAAAGTCTACTTCAATCATCCAAATTGATATATATTTTTTTTAATAGAATTAGGTTTAAAATGTTCATCGTTTCTGACATGTATCTTACATTTATCTTACATTTATTTATGTAATTTATGATAAATTATATTTTTGTACTAAATTCCTGGGAAAATTTATTATAAGATATTATATAGACGCATGTGAAATATTGAGAGATATATAAATTTATTTCATAAAAAAGGAAAGGAAGAACTCCGACAATTAATCAAAATTAATGATAGAAAAAAGGCTATTAAGAGTTCAAGCACAGTCGTTGTAGTGCTAAGTAACCAAAATTATAACCGAAATGATTTTCATCAAATTACAAAGACAAGGCCTTAACTCACAAAAGGACACCGAATATTTGGGCAACAGCTATTGCGGTCTATTGTGACGAATCTTTTTGTCTCTTTCTCTTGCGCGTTTGCTTATTTCGACGTTTGTAAGTGACTTATGCTTAGTCTCGTTGAAATTATTGTCGACAATATCGCATCTGACTTGTGGTTGGGCCCCCTAAACTCTGTCCTAGGTAATTTATTATTGGTTATTTAATTTTATTTATTTTTACTGTTTTTACACATTCTCTATATGTTTTTGTTAGACAGTACGGTCGCTGCACCTTATTACGTGCTTCTACGATTAAACGCCTTGTTATGGACATTAACGCTTTTGTCGACTTTAATTTTAAAATTAATATCGTTTTTTTCTTCATTTACATCAAGTCTTGGTTTTCGTTGTTTGAAAGAATTTTATGTTCTGTACAATTTTTGAGATTTTTTATAAATGTATCACTGAGGAGGGTTCATGGATGAGCCGAAATGTTTGATAATTTATATATTCTTTGTAAAATAAATTTCATTATTTCCTAACATAAGGAAAGCATTGTTACCAATTTTGGTTACTTAGCACTATAACGACTGTGTTTGAACTCCTAATAGCCTTTTTTCTATCATTAATTTTTATAAATTTATTATTAACCGATTCAGTTTATTATCTAATGGAGAAGGATATAAATTCTATAGTATAATATATATTTCGTCTATATATTAAAAATATAAGTTAGAGAGATAGTTATATTTTTAAAACATAAATACAGAAAAT